TTATTCTCAAACTTCTTTTTTTGAATGAAACATATTTTCATATGTGATAACCAATAAAAAACCAATAAATAACCAAAACCAGGGTTGGCCAAAGTGTCGACCGTGTATATATTCTTAATTACCTGCCCGTCTAATATTATCTATATTTATTTTAAACTTAAACTTATTTTTGGCTTTAAATTGCTACTTTTCTTATTGATCACTTAACACATATGATGTTGGTAGACTGCTGCCTATAATTTAAAAAACAGGTTGCCCATAGTGATCAAAACTTTGTCCACCCCTGCTGTAAACCATACGAGTTAAAAAATTAATATATAAATAATTTCATATTGACTAAAACAAGTTATCTGTTTGTTCCAACACGGAAGAAGAAAAACACAAAGCCATCACATAGTATTTATTGCTATTTATAAATTATGATTTATGAACATTTTCACTTATTACAAAAATGCTAAAAAATATATCATTTTAACTTGAAAGAATTATTATTAAATAAAGATTATAATATACTTTTTAGGAAAGATACTTTGTAGTAAAGGTTTAAATGTTATAAGATTTGAGAAACTCTATTATAGTTAGTTGCTTCAAATGTCCAAATCATCCACTCTATGACAAGTTGATAGCAATAAAAATGATTATTTTAATCTTAGAGTGATGATGTACATCAGATTGACTCCTAATAGTAGTGGTGATATACATATATCAAATTGACTCTTAACACTAATGGCGATGCACATCAAATTAACTCCTAACAATAATGGTGATGTATATCAAATTGACTTCTAACACTAGTGGTGATATGTGTCAGATTGACTTAGCACTACAGCACTACAGCACTACAATAGTATTGACTTAACAACAAATTGACTCCGTTCCAATAATGATGACTTCAAGTCAAATTAATTCTGTATCAATAATGGTGATCTGAAGTCAAGTTAACTCTGTATTAATTAAATAGTAACTTGATATCAAATTGATTTTATATGAAATCACCATTATTGATACAGAATCAATTTGACATCAAATCATTATTATTGATATTGAGCCAATTTGATGTCACATTACAACAGTGATCACCACTTGAAGGTTAATAAACAATTGAAATATGTAAGTAAATAATCATTTAGCAATATTTTTTCATCTTTATGTGTAATATATCTCATCTTGAAATCATATTATTAATAGTAACATTTTACTATTGTCAAAAGAAAAGTATTAAGTATGAGTTTCAGCAGTTGTCTTAAAAAAATAATTAACTTCCAGTTAGAAGAAAATTTGTCATCTGATATAGATTTTACTGAAAATAGACAAGTAATTCGAAACTATTGATTGACAGTATTTACAATTCATTCGTACACTATTTTAGTTAATAAATAAATTAAGATATGTAACGACAAATGATCAATTATATTCCATTGAATTAGAATGATGAAAACATTATTAAAAAGATAGAGTAAACTGTGGATGTTTATAAAATATGTAACAATAAACTTACCTTGAGCCCATCGTTTAAAAACATCTTCTTTAACGTTACTACCCCAAAGAAGTGTTTTAATGGAACGTAAAACTTCTTCATCGTACTGGGTAACATTTTCAGCCATTCTCCACGTTTTGGTTGATCAACAAAACATAAAAATTTGTCACAAATATATAATTTATTTCAACGTAATCATACTATTATTTTCAGAACTATAACAAATTTGATAATTTATATGTATAAGTCTTTAGATATTTTAACTATTCTTGTATAACCTATTTCACGAATGAGATAAATACCAAGTACGTCGCCATTTTGAATAAGACCACAGTTCATGAAAATTTTAGTTCACCGTCATATTGTACTCATAGGCCACGAGTATATAAGGAAGTTGTGTTACAATGTATGTACATACTGTAATGTCGCAGGAATTTAGAACACTGCCATCTTAATAAGCCCCATCGCCATGATAGCGCGCTTTATTCGAATAACAAATAGCATGAGAACTAATATAGTAGTTACAGCGATAAAGATATACCTAGCCAGCGAAATAGTAAAGTACAATAACAACAAATCCTTCTCATAACCGTCGCGCTCGGAAATTTAATATTTTAGTATTTTAAGGCATTTGAATCTTCGCTGCGAATTTATCAAAACTGTAGGATTCTGGAGTCTGTGGAGATTCTGAGTACTAACGTATCGATGATCGTCTGAGTATGTCAGATAGGTTAAGCAGCCTACTCTACTATGCGTGAGAGTGAAGAGAGGATATATTTTAAATTCAGTATTTGTAACTCAACAAATGTACATATATGTACATATAACTTTAATATAGAAATTTGAGGTTTACACTCGTTTGTACTCGTCATACAATTAACTTCCCGCCTAATATACTTAGTAATATGACTAGGCGCAATACGCACATTGTACAGTAAACGCGCTACAAATTACAATAATTTCTCCGGAATTTGTCGAACTTCAATTTTTCTGAAGATTTGCACTGTGATATTGCTACGGCCCTGCAATTTATCGATTTTCTTGCTACGCCGATGCCAAGGTTCGACGGAGTTGGTGAACACGTGTGTTGGCGGCACGCGCCGCGGCTCCTTTAACTCGAATTCCTGGAAGACAACTCATAATATAATGACATAAGTTCTTTTTAATTTTAATACTTTAAAACTGATTTTTTAAACATATTGCTGATAGTTTTCTAATTAAAATGAGACCAAACATGATGTAGTTTGGATAAATATTTGTGATTAAAATAAAATCAAACACGATATAATTTCGATTACATTTATTTATTAAATATTTATTGTGAAAGATTATATTCTATATTGAATTATTTTGTCACGTATCATACTTGGAATAGTGTAGTATCGTAACTTGCAGTGATGGTTTTCCTCTTTTTCTTAATAACAAATAATGTAAAAAAAATTAATTTATGAATAATTCATATTCAAATTGGCTGCAAATTTTTACCATTGTATGAATATGTACTTATTAATTTAATTTTCCTTGCCCAAGAAAAATAATTTTAATCCCTGCATCGTGTATTATATGCAAGGTGGTGCTCTTGCACTATGAGATGTCATTGTCTCGAAGGCTCTACGTAATTCATTGTTCACAATCCCATGAAAAATCATTTGATTTAAAATTCTAGGGATGATGGAAAAAGTACAGTAAACAGTTCCTTTACACTCTTCATCAAACGCGTAGGCTTGTTCCACTGAATCTCCATCGAATCATGGCATGGCATTGTAGTCGAATCGTCGCTGGCTCCTCAGAATTACAGTCGAATCAAAGCCTGAATAACGTAATTCTAGTGATATTTTCTTTTAAACGACATACATACATAACTTCTTTAACGTTGCCTGTAATATTTTTCTAATTCCTTTTTTTTTATAATTACAATTTGTGTAATGAAATAAAATAAGTTACTTGCTACATGGTTTAAACCTTGTCGTGAAAGATCTGACTAATATATTAAAAAGATTTTCATGTATAAAAAATTAGAAATGAAAAAGTTAGGTCATCATTTTTATTCTAGCATTACAATGTGTATTCACTGTAATGTACACCCTGAGTTTCCAAGTAGCTTCGTTCGATCCTAGTTTCGCTCTCTCTCTCTCTCTCTCTCTCTCTCTCTCTCTCTCTCTCTCTCTCTCTCTCTCCCTTTCTCACGAGGTGTCGACAACTATAAATCATGCCTCAGCTCTCTCAGTGCTGTTTCGATTCTGGCTAAAATCATTTCTTGGAGAAATTACTATACATAACCTTCGATTGAGACATGTGCGCGTTGAGAATATCAGACTAGAAACTGTTGCACTGTACTGCCGGTCTAGCTCTCGTTAACTCTCTATATCTTTGAGTGACTCTCTCTCTGATTTTTCTCTTTCTCTCTTTGTGGTTCTCATTGTAATCTCTCTCGAGAAGCGATCGGACTGTTTTATATAGTCTGTGATGGTAATCAGTGGCCACTAAACCCCCTAGAGGAGCGTGCTGAGGGAAATGGCTCCGTGGCGTCATCGATCTCACAAAATTATAGGGTGCTCTATAAATATCTAGAGGAATCTAGAGGAATATGGAGGAGGAAAAGGAAGGAAAGCGTTCCATCCTGGCACCGCTAGAGGACTTGTCAGCAAGGCTTTTCTAGCGGGCCCTGCCTTAGACACGAGAATGTTGGAAGGACGAACGAAGATAGTATATACAATACAAACTGAGACGGATTGGCTACTTGAGGGAAAGGAGAATTACCGGAGGTAGTTCCCACAATTGGCATCCCTTACTGGAAGGCAGCAACCCCACAAAATCTAAAACGGTCGTGACACCTGTAGACAAATTGTGGAATTTCGGAATCGATAAGAACATAACAATACATACAGTAATACCACAAATTTTGTAAGACGCCGCGGCTGTAGCGCGTTCCATTAGCGAGAGTAGGAGTAGAAATTACTTTGTTCTGATTGGCTGACGATTCAATGCTAAAACATGGTTCATTGTGGATTGTATACGCAGTAAAATGGTGGGGATACAAGCGCTTCCTTAGAAAGAAAGAAGGCGCAGTGGATCCTGTCTCAGCAAATTGTCGCCGGAGGTATGCAGGAGTAGGATCCATAAATGTACAGGATGTCCCAAAAATGTCTCGCATTACGGAAATGTGAGGTAGCTGAGGTCATTCTAAGTAACTTTTTCCTTTGCGAAAATGCAAATCTGCGGCTTTGTTTACGAGTTATTAACGAAAAACAGTGACCAATGAGAGGCGACGGCGCAAACCACGACGTGGTAGATTGATCGAGCGCCACGTGCTCCTACAGCTGAGTTTGATAGCTGAAGGGGGACTCTGTGCCGCGTTCGAATCAACGAACAAGTCACACAGCATGAATTTTCGATATTTTTTTTACCACATTACAGTGATAATTTTAAGAAAAACGCTGTTCACCTTTACTTTAGAACGTCTGAAGAATATTTACTAATTTTTCGGACCCAAAATAATTATGTAGTTTAACCGTGACAGCTGTTTTAATTTTTTGGTGTGCATGACACCTCATGTATACCATATGAAATTTTTATGCAAGGTGTACAGTGATTAAGAAAGTTTGTAAATGATATTTTAATTTAAATAATTCCGTGTCCGAACAGAATTCAACGAATGATTTGCAAAGCTAATTTAATAATAAATAATCGCGTTAAGGGACGTAAAGGATTTGTTTATTAAAGAAANAGCTGAGTTTGATAGCTGAAGGGGGACTCTGTGCCGCGTTCGAATCAACGAACAAGTCACACAGCATGAATTTTCGATATTTTTTTTACCACATTACAGTGATAATTTTAAGAAAAACGCTGTTCACCTTTACTTTAGAACGTCTGAAGAATATTTACTAATTTTTCGGACCCAAAATAATTATGTAGTTTAACCGTGACAGCTGTTTTAATTTTTTGGTGTGCATGACACCTCATGTATACCATATGAAATTTTTATGCAAGGTGTACAGTGATTAAGAAAGTTTGTAAATGATATTTTAATTTAAATAATTCCGTGTCCGAACAGAATTCAACGAATGATTTGCAAAGCTAATTTAATAATAAATAATCGCGTTAAGGGACGTAAAGGATTTGTTTATTAAAGAAATATGAAAAATATTATCAATAAGAAACTCACCCATTTAGTTGAGAATGCATTTGCTGGCTAGAATTTGTGGCTTACGATATTGAAGTGCACTGACCTCGTACAACGTACAACTGATCCCAGGTCGATGATCGTAACAATCAAGGGATATTGTCGGAGGAAACTCTGGAATGGTTATTTACGAAGTTCGCTTTCACTGCACTGTTTCAAACACTGTTTCACTTCCAAACACTGATCACTTAATTAATCACTGAGACTCGTTCATGGATAATCGTTTATTTGACGCGTTCGTTCGGGAGTCGACGTTTCACTGCCAAAAAATCGAAGCCTCGATCGTAGACCTTTGTCGTTCGTCGTTCGGCGGTTCGAGGAAATGACACCCGATATCATTTTCTTCGAACGGCCATTAATTACGTTCTAAGAGCGCAGGATACCGTCAGTGACAGCGGGTCGGCCGCAGTTTACGTCTCTGCATATCTTGTTTATTTAATATGGCGGTACCCTGCGCTCTTAGAACGTAATTAACGGCCGTTCGAGGAAAATGGTATCGGTGTCATTTCCTCGGACGGCGAACAACGAACGACAAGGGCCTATGATCGAGGCCTGTGATTTTTTCGCAGTGAAACGTCAACTCCTGAACGAACGCGTCGAATAAACCATCGATCCATGAATCCGCGAACGAGTCTGTCATCCTTCGTAATATCCACATGTGTTTCGGATTAGCAGTGATTAATTAAGTGATTAGTGTTTGGTGATAGTGCAGTGAAAGATCAGCTGTACGTTCTTTAATAAACAAATCTTTTACGTCCCTTAACGCGATTATTTATTATTAAATCAGTTTTGCGAATCATTCGTTGAATTCTGTTGGGACACGGAATTATTTAAATTAAAATATCATTTACGAACTTTGTTAGTCTTCACTGTACACCTTGTATAAAAATTTCATATGGTACACGCGAGGTGTCATGCACACCAGAAAATTAAAACGGTTGTCATGGTTAAACTACATATTATTTCGGGTCCGAAAAATTAGTAAATATTCTTCAGACATTCTGAAATAAGGATAAACAGGGGATTTCTTAAAACTATCACTGTCACGTGGTAAAAAAAAATATCGAAAGTTCATGCTCCGAGACCTGTTTATTGATTCGAACGCGGCACAGAGTCCCCCTTCAGCTATCAAACTCAGCTGTAGGGGCACGTGGCGCTCGATCGATCTACCACGTCGTGGTTCGCGCCATCGCCTCTCATTGGCCAGTGTTTTTCGTTAATAACTCGTAAACAAAGCCGCGGATTGCATTTCCGCAAAGGAAAAAGTTACTTCAAATCACCTCAGCTACCGCTCATTTTCGGCTGTTAAAATAATTGTGGAATATCCTGTATATTAAAATAATATATACCCAGTTTATTCGCCAGATCTTTCGCCAACCGATCTTTATTTTTTTAAACATTTAGAACAGTTTTTACTGGCTAAATATTCCGTATCAGAGTTTATTGATTTTAAAGATCAGAATTTCTTTAAGACAGGCATCTATGCAATAAAATTTCGTTGGAAAAAGTGCATTGAAGCAAATGGAGCATATTTTGATTGAATAAACAGCTTTTGAAAAAAGATATGCAGTTTTATATATTCACTTAAAAATCCGACATTTCATATGCACCAACCTAATAGTTTGTCTCACTTTACTTTGTCATTGTTTTATATATTCACTTAAAAATCAATCGCAAGCCGGACAAAGCGATTCGGGATACCTCCTTGCATGTTATTCTGTTTAAGCCGTAAGTAGTTTAAGTCGATGGATAGTCAGAAGTTAAAACTTTTTCACTGGCATGAGAGGGAAAGGAATGCATAGGAATAAAGATAAAAGGTATGGGAAAATCTATAAATGAAAAGAAGTTTGGATTGAGTTTTATAGTACTTTTATTTTCACACGTTACAGTTCTTATTTTATTTTACAATTATTTTATAATAATGAAAGGAAGTCAGAACGCAGCCGATATGGTTCGATATGGTACCCTTTCTTACAACGACGACATATTATACTTTACTAATAATAAGACGTACATATATATGCCGAGTAATTATTACAGACCAAAAGTGGGAGCGAGTAAGAGCAGAAGGTTCTGACTCGAGAGTGACGCGACTCGTTCTATGCTTGCATAAGTCTTAGAGCCTCGCAGATCTCGATGTTCGACGCTTTACCATGAGGAATGTTCATTCAAAGGTTTACCTTCTGAAACTGGGTGACCACTTCTTGCCGGCGCTAGACGCAGTTAAGAGTACATACTTGGGACATCTTACATGCCGAAACCCTATCCTGTGCAGGAGGTGTTTGCGCACTTCGCTGCCGCCAATCCAATTCAAGAACCCTCGTACTGTGACGGAGCTTGTCCGTTCTCTTCGGTGTGATTGAGTGATGCCAGTGAATTGTCACTGGCATTATCCAATCATATTTGTGAGGTCTCCCATGCACTACTCGGACAGATTCTAAACAGAAAGTTTCCAAAAAGAAATTTAACCTAAACAGGTTAAGATAGTCAAGAGCGACAGAGCTATACATATTATTCAAATCGTTACGTTATTAGGTTGTTGCATATGAGATGTCGGATTTTCATGATCTGTATATGTTTGTCTCCCTGCTTACGTTATGTTGTTACTATTGTGTATTATCAGCGTCATATTTTGCCAAAAAGAATTCTTTGCAAATTCTGTATTATGTCGCAAGAAACAATTTCAGAATTAAATGAATCAAAAAGTATGAAATTTTGCAACATCCACCCTATTCATCGGATCTATCGTCTATAGATTTTCATTTTTTTTTCAAACACCTATACAGCTCTTTTTACGAAATAAACACTTTATTTACGAAGATAGTATTAAAATCTCCATAGCCGTATTTATTCATGCGGAAGACCAGAATTTCTTTAAAAATGGCATTTATTCATTAAAATGGACTGTATTTCGTCTTTCAGAAAAAGATATGAAGTTTGCACTATTCACTTGTGCTAGGATTCTCCTGTGCTAGGATTTAATGGAATAATTAGCTGGATGTTATTCTGCTCAACTTGTTGAAATATTGCCTACAAACACATACATTCGAAACAAATCTCAACGTGTATCGAGTATCGGTACTTACTACGTGACAGTGATAATTTTAAGAAAAACGCTGTTGATCCTTATTTCAGAATGTCTGAAGATCGCGCTCTTCAGATCTTGTATCGCGATCAAACTTTAGTGATGCACGTACATCGCATAGCTGCTTTTTTTCATTTTTGTTCTTTTTGTTTTGTTTGTCAATCTTGACGAACGCTATCGCGCCGCTTAGTTCTCTTCGCGATCAATTAAGACAAGCGCTATTACGCTGTTCGCGCCACTTTTCGACCGTGTTTTCTAAATAATCCCTGGGATTAAAGCGTCAATAATGGTTGCAAAATACCCAGCAGAATTCGTAAGTATGTATGTATCTCGTAACGTCACGCTTGAAGGTATAGGTAATGATTTGACAATTATTGTTCAGAGTCGAAGTTTTTAACGCGTTTATTTGATAAAGGCTCGGTGTGAACTGTTTTCAATTTCGGTTTGTCCTGCCGAAACGAATAAACATCGTAATGTATTAAACGATCTTCTTACCGATCGCATCTCATAGCTGATACAATGCAACGCATTCTATAGAGGTAACGGTAGAAAGACGCTGCAGCCTGCGAATCAGCACGTATTTCAATCAGAAAAACATATTTTTTTAAAATATTCTGTTTCCTAAAAGTCCAATCTACGCCTCGGCAGTGTGGAGAAATTATTATACATTGATATTAATATTACAATAAATTGTAATATTCGGCAGAATAGTATCAATCACAAGACTGTCGAGGCAAGTATACCGTTACAAGATGACCGCCGTTGAAATTAGAATCTAACACAAATGATACATGCTACTTATCGGCCTTTTATCGGTGTTACTGATTCAATCATAGACGAGCTCGTTTGTGGTGCAGCTTTTTGGTCGGAAAGGAATCGTATTGAAAAATGGTATTGAAAAATGTCAAAACCTCGAGTTGCTGTTTTAGGTTCTAGTAAATAACGTCTTGAATAAGTAAGTAATCAAAAAAAATACACATCGCTGCCTTTGTACATATCTTGACTACGTTTATTTGGTGTTATTTTCTCGATACGAACGCTAAATCTCCCGATATTTAAGAAAATCTATCAGCGACGGACATCTTATAACGGTATACTTGTTTCAACAATCACGTGATCGATACTGCACTATCGAATTTTTCCATAATGAGGTAAAATTTGGCATTTTGAACAACACTGAGACGTAAATTGGACTTTTAGGAAACACAATATTCCACTCCTGAACTCCACAATACTCCTGAACTCCCCGCTTCGATATTGAAGCAGTCTATTTGCTGAAACCCAAATCCCTAGAATGTAATAAGTATAGTCTTCTATGTGTCCGTAATAACAATGTATTGAATACTTTACCCTTAAATTTGCAGCAGCAACTGCAACAGTAGCACCAGCAAGTGTAATAGCAGCAGCAATTCATACTGTTCATGCAGCAGCAGCAGCAGCAACAAAAACAGAAAGCACAACAGCAACAACGACATCAGCAATCATAGCCATAACAACAGCAACAGCAGTAAGAAGAAGTGACAGAAAGGGAAACATAATGGAGGCGAAAGCTCCCAGAAAATGAAGGTGAAGCGTCCATGTAAGTTATCTTTTAGCATTTCTTGAGAAGTTATGTAAAAGATATTATAGTAAAAACAGTACTAAAAACAGTGTCAAAATTATCTATAAATTTACTTTTTATACATCACTCAAAATTTGTATACTTCATTATTTCAGTTTATGTACGTAATAAATAATGCATAAGAATTTTCTTTTCGTAAATCGAGGAACATCTGTAACAATGTTCCGGATGAAAGAAAGCCGCAGAGGCCAAGGCGGCGCTGGTTGTTGCCAAATATGTATATATTATAAATAGGTTTCAAAAATAAATATACTTTTTTAGTTTCCTATCTATTAAACCTTTAGAGTGTCGGCATTTTTCCACAAAAAAATAATATTTTTACCCGAAATATTTGTACATAAATAGGTTTATTCTGTCACGTAGAGATTTTATAAAACGTTTAAAATATTATTGTTTTATCGTGATTTACTAATTAGGTTGTAATTTGGTTGTGGAGTACACTATATAAATGGAACAATTACTTTTGATTTGAGAAGTTTCTCTTCAAATTCAACTTATGATTTATGACTTGACATTTATTTATGATTTTAATACTTTTTTCAAATGAAATTAAATGGTAATAAATATTTTCTGAAGTGTTTTTTTTATATCCTTCCTGAGTTTTCTTTTTATGGATTAACATTTCATTGTTTGTATTTGAAAGCATTTTTTGAAGGAGAGACATAACCTTAACATTTCTTGGAGGTTTTCTTCTTTCTGGAGCTTCTTTTGGTGATCAATTGTTTCGCATTAATATCTTTTGGATGCTTGTTTGAGCAAATTTATCAATGTGGAGGTTTCTTGTTGGTTAATTTGTTGGAAATTTTGTGCGAGAACCAAACTCAAAATCGAACTCTTTACTACTCGGTGTTCTTACATTGCAAATGTTTTCTTGCGAGGACACAAATTTATAGCAATTAAATTAATTATTCTCTCTTCATTCAAATATTGTTATACGAATAGAGATCATAGAATTATTCGCATAATAATGCCAATAATGTTGACAGTTTTAGTTTTTACGTAATTTTATAATAATGTTTAGAGTTTTTAGAATTTTATAAGATTATTTAGTTATTTGAAAAAAAGAAAACGTTAATTGCCAAAAGAATTTAAAAATTATTTGAACATTCAAGGATCGGACGATACGTTGAACGAATACACCGATGATACTCATGATCCATGATGATACAAAGGGTTAAATATAACATGTAACGATATCAAAAATTATTTTATTCGGTGAAAATTTGTCGTATTTTGACAGTTATGTACATCACGTGGCTGAAGCCGATTCAAGCCACCAACCGGCGAATATACGAAAGCCAGAATAAAGTACCGAAGCCACTCAGCGGCAAAAATGCGAGAGTCACAGAAGTGTACAGTGTACTATGTATATATTCATCGCCACTGGACGATGAAAATATTCTAAAGCTGCGCGTGAACTTAATATCTGGATATCTCGCAATCAGCTACTTCTATCTGAATTGATATGTTTGAGGGCTTTTTGTACGCGCACGGTGACACTTAACAATTGGGCAATCATTGAAATTAAATACAATATGATTTAAAAGAATAAATCGCTATTAAAATTTTTGGCCGTTTTGTTCACAGAAAAGATATGCTGGTTAGCATCGCGCGCCGATCAACTATACAGGGTGTCCCAAAAATGTCTCGTAATCCGGAAATGGGGGGTTTCTCAGGACATTTGAAGCAACTTTTTCCTTAGCGAAAATGCAATCCGCGGCTTCGTTTACGAGTTATTAACGAAAAACAGTGACCAATGAGAGGCGAGATCAGTTGGCACGTGACGGCTGAGCCAATGAGCGGAACTGGGCTTCGTGCGCTCGTTGGCTCGACCGCCTCGCGCCAGTCGCGCTCGCCTTTTATTGGTCAGTGTTTTTCGTTAATAACTCGTAAATAAAGCAGCGGATTGCATTTTCGCTAAGGAAAAAGTTACTTAGAATGATCTCAGCAACCTCCTACTTCCGGATTGCAAGACATTTTTGGGACACTCTGTACACTTGGCGCAGGTCGCTGCCGCGTCTCACGATGTTCCAATGAAGAATGATTGTATTTTCTAATTGCCGTTCGAATAATACAGATGAAAACCTTATTATGGAAAACGCGTATGTGCACAGTATTTATATGTTATGTATCCAGTAAGATGTAGTTTTCAATAAACATTTCGAAAAAACATTTCGTTCAACACGTTTAGAGTCTGTACGTCAAACTATTATATTATTTGTTGTCGAAGCAAGTATGTGTTTCAAACTTTTAACAAATATCGATATCCAACAAGTATGAATCGATCGTGCATAATTGAAAAATGAGAATTCGGAGATATTTTGTGATTCTTCGACAGAAAAAAGAAACACATCGAACACGACTTGGAATGGGCATATTATGAATATTATTATGTATTTACTATTACCCGGAATTCTTGAACTCCTCGATTTGTCCTGCAAGTCAAAATGATCATTCCTGAGACAAGAAAACCATCATCCGCAGAAATTCATTCAATTTCAACCTGCATAATTCTCTATGTCAAACAACCGAAACTTTCAACTAAATTCGAAAGTTCAAAATGCATTTAGAAACGCGATTCGCACAAATATATGTTTTTTTCCTGGAAAATATAATCCGAAAAACGTAAGTGTCAACAATTAACTACCATACTATTCATGAAGAATGCGCCAAGGTTTTTGCACTCACCCAATATTTTGTGCACTGTTTACTATGCCACTATAGTCAGTAGATTCTTCGATAATAGACATCGACATATTTTTGCAGTGCTGATGTTGCGACGACACCGATCGCGTCACTTGTGCGAGACCGTTGTTAGTTTCTCTCTCTCTTTTTTTCTCTGTCGCTGCACTGGCAAACGGACGACGACGGACTGGAAACGTCGTGCGTCGATGTAAGTCTGTTCATGTTCTTGTGCAGTTGCGTGTGCGATGATCGCTTTTTCCTCTAGCAAGTTTTTTCATAATTTGCGTTTGTCATCGTTTCAGCCGCACAGCTATTGGCCACGATCGAGATTCATAGAGGGCTCGAAAGTGCTCGCGCGAGTATCATGCATAACTCACGACCAACCATCGATTTTGTCTCGAATAAAAAACCGCAATATCCAGGCATTTATGCATGAATCGTAATAGGTTTCTTTCTTCTTTTTACAGAATGACCTTGCACGGTATGAATGACGACGCACACGTAGCAATAAGAATGATTACTATGTATTCAGCCGATGAATGTTGGATGCCGGTGAATTCGAGCGGCTTGAAACATCACTCGATCGGAATAAGTATATCGCAGTAGCGAGAGCGAGAGCTCGCTTTCGCAAGAAAGTACGCTCGCGAGACCAGATAAGTAAAATCTCGAAAGTAAAAATGTTTTTCTCGGACAGCGACGATTTCTCGGTTGCTCTGACCTCGATGCTTACCAAGTGTACCGGTATCTGGATGCATAAAAATCGCAGCGAGCTATGCTGCAGATACCTCGTCTTGATTTACACGATTTATCATCTTTCTTTCTGCATTGTCATTCAAACGATAGGCGTTGTCACGAGTACCAACGATTCGAGTGCAAGTATTTAGCAAATTCATTCCAATTACACAAACTGGGTTAAGCTGGTGAAATTGATGATGATCGACCACCTAGCGCTTATCTTTACGACCATTTGTCACATAAAATTCAGATTTTCAAATTTCAGAATATCAAATTAATACATTTTAAAATTAAATACAGAATAAAATCATGTTACAGAATTATAGAATTTCAGAATATTAAATTGCAGATTTTTCAATTTAAGGATATTAAATTTCAGACTTTTAAATTTGAAACCTGAATTATATATTTCAATATACATACATACTTTCACAGGGATCTTTCTCCCCCCCCCCCCCCCTCTACTCTCTGAAACTATGTCGAACTTATCCTAATGTATTTCTTTAACGGAGATCGATAAGCTTTCATGAATTCCGGATATTCTATTTTCATATTTACAGGAATTACTGTATACAGGTTTGAACACTGTAACCACGACTCTGAGTTTGTTCAAACTGAGTCTCATATTTTTCCATAGAAAGGACTTTTTCACATTAGTGATTCATCTGGAGGAAAAGTTTTTGCACTCGAATTACGACGCTTTCGAGTTGAAATTGGTGAACGAGTGCAAGCGCCTCTCCGCGATCGGCATCGGTTGCTACACCCTCTTCACGTACGCAACTGTACTTTGTTTCATGGTAACACCGGTGATAGGTAAGCCAAAAAATTAAAGCGCAAAGTTCGAGGCTCTCTTAATAAGGAATATGTAATTTCATTCAAGTAAAAGATATTTTCCGACGTATGCGATTGTTCCGTATGGTATGCAAGCGTATAGTAATTGATTGTACATATGTACATATTGGAATTTGCAGGTACCAAATGGTACATAAAGACTTTTTAACGAAAACTAATATTCTTTTATGTTATTAATATGAGTATCGAGTTTTTTGTTTTTTAATGGGAAATACACATCTTTTAAAATCATTTTGATTTTCTATTTATTTCATATATGTATTTTCTAACGATGTTTAACGACTTCAATTCTGAAAGTTTTACAAACAATAGTGGACTAGTATCGCTAATAGAACAATGCTTTCAAAAAGCATCTTCGAAAAAACAATTATTTTTATTCAACGTACATTATCATACAGTATCGCACAGATCTTTTTCTATCATAGTACACGCATGTTGCGATCATAGTAGCAGACAATGTTATTAATTTAAAAAGCTTTCGAGTATTTGTCACAATGAATTAAATGTTTTCAACATTTTATGAACATTATTTGATTTGATTTATTGGATAAAACTTGTCAGACTATAAAGATAACCGCGGTCTTTATGTTTCTTTATGCAAGAAAAAAATTACATCGAACACTGTGTTTATATAACACAATTACCTAACAATTACCTAACTGTTGTTAATGAAACTGACCAATTACAGCAAATATAGGAAAAAACGAATCCGATAGACTACTTCCGTTCATTATATCAGTAGATCTACCAATGAGTATGACACCGTATTTCGAGATAGCGTTTGTCCTTGAGGTATCATCATTTTGATCAGTTTTTTTATCTTGAATTAGGATCGAAAATAATGACACTAATGCATGCAATGGCGTGGTTATTTTTTTCTTCGCATTAATTGAGTCAGCTGCGACATAAATTTATATCTAGGGACACGAACTTTAGATTCTATTTTCATCACACCTTGTATAGTCGATTGACGTTTACTTTAATATGATTTTCGTGAATATCATTTTGATTATACTTCGACGAAATTATGAATTTTTATACAGAGCGGAAAACTTACGTACTAGAGATTAAAATTTTTGTGTCATGATGATAATAATTGAATTGAAATTTTATTTTCGGAACAGTTTTTAATGCTGTATCAGATCGGTGTCTGTTACACTTGCTTCGACTATTTCCTGTGTATCATCAACATGCACGTGGCCGTACAGTTTCGCATACTGCAGCACAGACTGACATACCTGAATTATACGAATCAGGAAGAAATTTCCAGTGTGAAGATAGGAAAAGTTTCCCTAGATGCCGCGGAGAGATGTTACGCTGCCTTCAGACATAACATTCAACATCATCAGGCACTTATTTCGTACTGCCAAAAGCTCGAGGATGTGTTCAGTTTGATAGTGTTGGCAGAAATGATTAGTTACAGTCTGATAATCACTCTCATCGGATTGCAAATACTTTTGGTGAGTAAATTCCACGTACACACACGCGCGCGCGCACACACCACACACACCGACGAATGCTAAATAATTCGCTAACATTTGAGATACGTTTTCCAGGGAGCCCCTGACAGTGGGAGACGCTACACTTTCATGTCTTTCTTGTGCTCCGAATTTATCCAGTTACTCATGTTCACCTACACCTGCGACGGCGTCATACAAGAAAGCTTGAACGTAGCTCCAGCAATTTTTAACGCTCCCTGGTATTCGATGCTGATGAATAAATATGGAAGAATGCTGCGGAGAGACCTGAAACTCGTCATCTTGAGGTCCAGAAATCCTTGCTGCATAACGGCCAAAGGATTCTTTCCTATATCTTTGGAAACGTACACGAAGGTGTGATAAATCAATTATACATATTATATCGTATAACTATATTATCAACTTTAAAACAACGAAACCTTTCTTGCAACTCTGCGATCAATGATACCTAAGGGAAAGTTCCGATTTAGATCATTTTAAAAAATCAACCTCTTTTGTTTTCAACTTTACTTTCTAGAACGCTTCAAGAATATGTATTTAAAAGAAAATTTCAAAATTCTAAAAATTTTCAAATTTATAGACTTTTTAGTGGCCTTCGGTACCTCAAAATAATCTCATTTCATCGCGTACAACTTCAAACTCATTTTTCTCGAAACATTTTTCGAACTGGTGGGACAAATGTCTCGCAAAACTAATCGATCGGTTCAGTAGCCATTCGGAAGAAGGATCTATGCGCTAAAAACCGAAGTTTAAAGCTTTTCTATTCTTCTAATATAAAGCTGGGATATTAATGAGAGCCATGTAAAGGGCAATGAAAGAGACAAAGAAACTCATTTTTATTGTAGAACAAAATGACGCAGAAAAGAGTGATTATTGTGCTTGCGGTAACAAAGATAATTTTTCAGGCCCTTTTTTGAAATATCATATCTCCGCGTGATATACATATTAGTCTTTGAAAATCATTACAGACACGTAATATTCTATTTATTGGATAACACATTGTAGTATACAGGATGTCTCCGAGAGGTATGTACAAGCGGGCATCAGGTGATTTCTCTTAAAAAGAAAAACATAAAAAGAATATATAAAATAACTATTTCTTCGAGATCTAATTCTCGAGCAAATCGAGTTTGAAAAGTCGCTTTGTACATACGTACATACGGCTTTTTCAAACTCGCTAAATTAAACTATATTTTTTTTATGTTTTTTTGTCAGGAATCACTTGGTGTCCGCTTGTACATACCTTTTAGGGGCATCCTGTATATAAAGATATAATGAGTCATGTATAATAAGTTTTTTTTTTTAATATTTAATTACAATTAATAGAAAACTACTTTGACAATGAGACAACACTAAATCCAATTTTCGTACAAAATTTAATTTCTAATCATTTTTCGTAATTTATCAGCATTTTTATGCTGAAAGAAGGTTCTAAAATAAAAACATAATATCCTCAATTTTAGTATTTTTTAATGTAACATAACCTTGACATGTATTTTTTTATTTTCTCTTATATGAGAAACTTCCATCGCATATTATTTTGTAGGCTTTCGAACTATGTAAAAAGCCTTCAGGTTCATATGTATGTTATCTTTTCATATGACTAAATTTTAAATGTAAAAGATTTAGATTTAGGTTTAAATAAACCGCTCGACACGGACTATGTATAAATATTATAGTTACATATATGTGCCCATAATTATGAAAGTGGTCTAAGTCATATATTTCTTGTTTCGAGATATTTAATGAATCGCATTTGAATAAATTAAAAAATATTTTTACATTATGCGACATTTTAATTTATAATTTTATTAGTCTTGATTAATGGAAATTTATTATAGATACGAAATTTTGTGTGAATTTCATAGGAAAATGTTGTTTTTAAAGCTTGAATTGACTTAGACCATTTTCAAAATTAACTGAATGTCCTATAATTGACTTAAAGTAATAAAAAATTGTGATTTTTATTTGAGCCGTTTATTTTGAAAGTGGTGTAAGTCCAATGTCATCGAAAGAAATTGTAAGTGGCGTTGCGTGGGGTATTTAGACAATACAAGCTCAGACTCGGCATTTTGAATTTCTTTAAAAAAAAGAACTTATACCACTTTCAAAATAAACGGTCCATTTGAAACAACAACTTTAACGAAATAATTCATAAACATTTATTAATCATTTTTAAAAAGTAATCCATTTTTATCATAATTTCGAGTTTTTAAGATTTTTAAAATGTTCCTGAAAAACTGGAGGGATGTATGGTAGTAAACACATAAGATCTTTATGTTTTTCTTCCGTTACTGGTCTAGTGGTGTTGTATAATGGAAGTAATTGAATATTTTCGTATATTTTTGGTCTTCCTCTTTTAGGTGAAAGATCCAAAACTTGGAATTCAGAATCATCTA